GTATACACAAATCTACCATCCCTATCTGCCCGGTTCGGTAAGAAGTTACGAAGGTTTATATGAGCAAAAACTTGCATGTGCAGCTAGTAGGATAAAATCAGTCATGACATTTTTCCTACGGCTCGAATATTTTTCGGGTTACTCTTTGCAATAATTCTTAATCTGATCGTATGTATCCAACTTTGCCACTTTGGAACACCAGAAAAAGTCAACGACTGATTTTACACTTATCATGTATTGGATTTTCTACCCATGGAAACCTTCAAAATCTATGGTGAGAAGCCTGCAGCAAGACAAGAAAGGTAGATTTGGATTCAGCGTTTTACGCCCTTCGAGACAGTATACATTTCATACAAAAAGGCCACTTCGACTAATCGTCCTTCCCTTGTAAGACATATGCACAAAGCGCGCAGTATTTCACCCGTCTCCAGTATGCCAATTTGCAGGCATATCTCCTGCGCTTTGGCAGTCCTGGATTCGGACGTATTCGGGCGGGTTTGGGCGATTCGAGCGGGTACCAGCGTGGTCTGAACAGTGCCTGAGAAACATGGGTGTTCATGCCATCGATTTGCAAGATGCCCGTATAGGTTATAGAAGTATAGGTACATAAATAAACAACAACATAATTGCATTTGAACTATTTTCTGGAGCTTATTTCTGGAGGGTTCATAATATCAGAAACTCTTCGGGCCAAAACCCTCCAGATGCTTTTGCAAGTGTTAGTGCGTTCAGGCTACTGAAAGCGGCGAGCAGTTGCAAAATCCTCTTTGAAAACACTAGCATACTTCTTCTTTGTGTCTTTCAATAATGTCGCGACCATAACTCTGGTAATTTCTTCTCATACGTTAACGAAGTTTTGCAATTCTTCCAGCGCAAATGCAGTGTGTATTGGGTATGCTGGAAAAGCGCACTAAGGTGGAATTGTACATGTAAGCTAAAGTACGGTAGTATATCTTTCAAGGAACTGGTGGAAAAACTAAGGCGGAAATTGGAGGGTGGATCGGGTGGATCCAGAAGCTCTGAAAAATCAGTGATTCTCTTGAAGAGAGATAGATCAGGAAACGTCGTACCAGCCCGAAGTAACAAAAGCAGCTCTGAACGTTTTGCCGAGGTAACCTACAATTCTAACTGAGAATGATTGAGAGCAACATCAATTCCTTGTAGACCTCGTCACGCATTCAACGCGAATATGGCAAAGAACAAAACTTCAGGGATATGGTCCAAGAAGAGAAGTCGTCAACCGCGGAAGATCAGCTTATGTTGTTCCATAAATCGATCATCGTGGGTCTTTTCTTTACATGTTTCCTTTTTTTATCAGCTAAAATTGTTACCTTAAGGCATTTAGTGCCTAGCGGTTTCAATTTCTTTCCTTATGTGCGCTTGATTCAAGTCGGTAAATTTTGAATGTTCGGGGTTGAATGTGGATTACATCGAATGCACCATCGGCACATTTTTCTGGGTCAAGCAGCATACGAAGTTCTAGAATAGAGCAAATAATGCTCTTCTTTTAGTTCTCCTCCTATTCTTTTATCTTCTTTTGAGATTTTACATCCATAAGTCTAACATTTTGTTTGCAAATTTTTCAAAAGTTTGTGCCTTTCTAGACTGATCTACATTAAAGGCAGTGTCCGGGCAAAAACTTGATTTTGAGATTT